CCCCCTCTCACTTACTCCCTCTCCCTCCCTCTCTTTCTCTCTCTCCCTCTCTCTCCCTCTTCTCTCTCTCTTGCTCTCTCTCCTCTCCCGCTCCTCTCTCTCTTCATATGTTCCTTCTCTTTTAGCTGAATATTCGCTTGCTGTTGGTGTTCGTTGTTCGTTATTTGTCTTGTCGTTTGCTTAAAGTGAAATGCCGACAGCTATCTCGGCTGAACCATGTTATTTTATAATTTTAACCTCAATTATGCATCGCAGTCCGTGTGACAGAAACACGAGGACTTATTAATAATGATCCTTGCGATTTTTTATGAACCTGATCAAATAATCGCAATTTGTGTTATATTGCTATAGCCTTTGCCTTGTATCTATAAGTGCAATATATTGATAAAGCAAACCAACGATGGAAAAATATTTTATATATAATCTAAATGCAGTTATGTATTGTTGCTAAACGCAGTGATACATAGCACTGGGCACTCCCCTAACAAGTGGCTGCTGATCACTATACAGTGTAATGTGACAACGACGTCTCGTGTTATGCCCGAAATATATAAAATCGTTAAATCTCAAAATGTTATGCCTACAGAACGTTTTTGCAATTTATATTGCCTTTTTTGACTTGGTTGATTACTGCATTATCATTACAGAAGCTCGCGAACAGTATACAACATGTTATATATCATATATGTCAGCTAATAAGTAAAGTGTTACACGTCATCTACGGATGGTTTTGCTGCCCGAATCCTTTGAGTCACAACCCCGTGTCTTGGCCGTAATCCTGCAGATATATGAGATGACGTATGACCGCTCAATATTGACGATATTGTGCGGATGTGGGGGAGGGTGTGCTTTACCGATTAACTTAAGTCGGTTAATTCTAAATGTCAGTAGTTATTTAATTATATTCAGTAGGAATTAAGCTGCACACTGAGTAAAAACTTGCCGAACTTAAACTCGATAACAAATTCGAATTTATAGCTACCGTTCAGTAAATGTCATACAACGAACGAAAAATCTCACAAAGGTCACATGTAATCAATCAGACATCACGCGTAGACCAAGATAGAGAAGGTAATTGATACTTTATGCCGGATTAATCTATTTCGTCTACGCAGTATGTTAAAAAAGTTTGCCATATTACACGCCGACCTGAATATGCAACTCCTACATGCGTTACCACGCTTACCATATACCATACCACTGGCGCCCACAGTCTTAAGAAAGTAAGTAAGCCCACAGTAAGAATAAATCCTCAATGCTAATAAAAAAGCAAGCGCCCGTACTCGCGCCTGTAGGCTAGGGGTCTGGGGGCATGACCCCCCCCCTAAAAGATTTTGAATGACCGTAGACGTTGAGATGACCCAACTGTGATGGCTGTCTTGCGACGAGAGATTTAGGAACAAAATTGTTTAACCCAAAATTTACGTGGGCCACTGTACCATACAAACATATTAATCGACCTACTAGCTTCCTAAAAATCCGCTGCCTGTGTAATGCATGTAATAATGAATGGCTAGCAGTTGTTCCAACATGTTTCCAAGTAAGAATGGCCCCATTTCCCTATTTCCGGACCCTGGTAATAAAATCTCAATTCGCCTCATTCCGAGTCCCCATGCTGGCTTCCATTTGTTAAACATATAAATGTTTTATGATTTCCCGAATGCCCATGTGTAATTAAAATGGTCCTCAATTCCAGCCGGCCTGTACAGAGGGGTCCAAGGTGTCCCGCCCCCCCCCCTCCCGGGCTCCTGCGCAGAGAAGAAAACGCATCTGAGGCGTGTCTTAATTCAAAATTTAGACAATTAGCAGACCCCAGACCCCCCCTTCGCGTGCCTCCAAGTTTGGCGGTTACGGTTAGACGCCCCCCCCCCTGGTCCAAATCCTGTACACGCCCCTGATTCATATGCCCCCCATAATACACCGTTGCCGCTTACAATAATCCTGTTTAGAATTTTAGATCTCGATCAGTTGTGCAAAGTCGGCGCGGAGATTGTTTACGGAACAGTTGTATGTCATGTCACGCTTGGTACAAGAAGAAATAAAAGGCGCAAGAATCGCAATCAGACTGAGACATTCAGAGCGAATCGCGCACCGTTGTGAGCGTGGAGAGTGATGAACCACAGGCACTGGCAGCGATTCAATAAAATATAATGCTAAATAAAAAAAAAAAAAAAAAAAAAAAAAAAAAATATACGAAAATCTATTTTACTACAAAGTCTTAAGTTGTCGTATATGTTTATGTGTCAGTGTGCAGCGCAGCCATGACGCTGCAGCCCAGAGTGTCGTTGAGATGAGCAGTTGACGGTATTTGCCCAGAAATTGTCGGCATAATAAGCCGAAATAGAGTACTTAGAAACATTAAGCACTAAATTAGATTTCGTTTATTAGCCATTATATTTATTGAAACGCCCTCCAAGACTGCTGTGAGATGCACCGCGCGCGCCGCTTGTGTGTACGCGCGTATGTGATTAAATATTTAAATATTCGTAAACTGACTTTTTATTTTTGTAAAAGCCTGCTTATGATATCATGTATAAACTTCTAGTACTATCTTAATTATAAAAAACGAATATAATACATATATATTATACAATGGAGCTGGATACAATTCTGTTCGTTCAACTATATGTTGAGGGGAACGGCCGTAATTTCGCGACGCGGATTGGCCATTTTATTTACCTGGAACTGGGAAATGTCAGATAAATTTTCCCGTGATCCGGAACAGATTAAGTCCATCAGGGACGGCGAAAGAACTTCTAAAATGTCTGGATCTTCCGGGAAAATTGTTATTGTCAATCGTCGGATTTCAATTTCTGGCTAATATTTTTTTTATTTTTTTATTCTCGCTAATTAGATTTATCTAAGACCCCAGATAAATAATAGTACATGTAAATATTCAGTATTTATGTTACAGATGCTTTGAAAACCTAAACACTGCAATTTCCTAAACATGTCTACAATAATTTCCAGACCTGGGGTAATGGATTTTATTTTACTGGAACTGCGATATGGTGGTGTTTTTTTGCTTGGGAAAAAGTGCGCGAATGTACCCCCCGCCCCCCCCGTCCCCCTCTATGTTTCAACCCATGAAAATAATATAGATAGCTCCCCGTCTCACGGATTCCTGTTGTTCCTCCTCTAGCGCTTTCTCTCGCTCTATTTTTATTTATTATACTCTCCTTATCACGCCCTACTCTTCTGTGTATTTAAAAAATACAAACACTAAAAGCGTTATTAAAAATGTTAAAATGTTATAGATGAAAATACACTGTAGGTAGGTAATCTGCAAAGTAATATTTGTGTTTTGTTTATTTTCCCACAATTTAGCTCCATTTTGTTTGTAGGTTTCAATTGAATGTTATGTATCTTGTTTTGTTCAAATTATGGGTACATCTGGATCATGAATAATAAATAATAGCAATGTTCCAACAAACATGTTGCCCTGAAAAACGTGCATTTCTTAGCACAGCCTAGGCTGGTAAGCAGATGCCATTTTTATTCAGGACAGATTTAGATATATATTTTGCAAAAATATTTTCCAAAGTATTAATTTCGTCGCATTTTCACCTATTTTAAAATTTGCCTAATTTTTATGACGTTATTTAAAGCCACGCGGTTATTATTAAACAAGTATTTTATCTTTTTTTCTGAGTAGTTTTGAATTAATCGTATCGAATCGCCGGCTGTTTCCAACCCGACTCTAAGCTTGTACTTTGTCGTCTAGTGTCGTCGTTCGAGTCAATCGCTCCTCATCGAAACATCAACAAATAAAGGTACAGGGTTTTGTTTTGATCGCTTATGTAATTTTTTTAATATCTTGTTATAGTCCGGAACGATCTAATGTCGGTTAATTTTATCCAAGTGTAGTACTTCTCTCTTTTCGAAGAGGCAGTTCACGTACCGGCTTTGTGTGGCGCGCACTGTACGTACTAATATTCGTAGATGACGCGCTCGGAGGCAATTCGTGTCGATACCCAGTGCAAACAGCCTATCCGGCGCGTCTCCTTGCATCGCTGCGATACCCGACGGCATTGTTAAATCAAAAACCTCACAGTCACAGCGTTATTGCTGTAAGTTGGCTTGATGCACACGTGCGGTTTCTTTGTTCGCGCACACTGACACCTGCGCGGACGGTTGGTACTCTTCACACTAGCAGATGGCCTTATGTGCCTCTGCTATGGCTGGTAGGGGACTCGGGGATACCTAACATAAAGACCAGCAATTTATAGATTAATTATTAATTGCTTACCCATCCTCTAAGACTAATAGTAATATATGATGTGTGAATAATACTTAATAGTTCCATAACCTTCTATTGTCATTATGTACAATGTATAAATATCAAGAGCTAATAATACCTACGTCTAGGTATTATTATTATTGCTCATAGGGTCTATGTCCCCCAGGGTACTGCCGGAACGTACCCTGGGTACGGTCCAGTATACCGGAAAGTACCCTGGTAACTATCTGATATGGTTAGCGAGTAGGCATAGGCGACTCCCTAGACTCGTTAGTGGAGTAGGCGAGGTACGATCCGGCATATTAGATACCCTAGTACCAGTGTACATTCCGGTATATACCGGACCGTATCCAGGGTACGTTCCGGCAGTACCCTGGGTGGACATAGACCCTCTCATCATTACTATTAGCTCTTGTAAATATGTATATTTATAGTTCCATGGTTTGCCTAAACCTGAGGGCTTTCTAGTTTATATAATTTATTAATTGAATTGTAATATAAGGCCACATGGTATGACATACAAGAGAAATATCAGTCTGATAAACTCTGGTTTTATACCAATAATGTATTTGATTAATAAACTATGACACCAAGTGAAGGTAGAATCATAATAATACAGTACTGTGTGCAAGAGTGCAGGAAAGCCCAGTAATCTTTTATAGTTCCTGCAGCGTTAACTTTGGTACTCAGTGAATCATTGAAAATAGCTGAACCCCCCTCCCCAGTCAAGACTGGTAATTTTTGAGCAGGACTTTCTGTTTTTTAATAGAATTTATTATAGGTTAAACAGAAGAAAGCAAAATTTTTGGACTGGGCTGGTTTTTAGCTTATCTAACGAAGTCAGATGCAGCTTGTAGAATCGCATGAGCGTGCGTGCGTGCGTCCGTCCGTCTGTCCGTCAACATTTGGGCACAAATCTTAACCGCTCGACGTACGGTCACGATATTGGGGACGTCGGGGGGGATCGTGAAAAGGACTCAGGATGACAAATTTGGGGGTTAAGGGTCAAAGGTCAAGATGTGTAAACGAAGGGGGAATATTTCTCCCTTAACTTAAGGTATAGGAGGAAATACGGAATTGCGGCACAAATCTCAACGGCTCGACCTATGCTCTTAATATTCGGTGTATAGTGTGATGGGCAGAAAACCCATCACCAGTGTGAAATTGGAGGTCACAGGTCAAAGGGTAGTGGGGGAAAGGTCAGATGTCAGGCATTTTCTGAGGACATGGCCTAATGGACAGAGTGAAAAACTGTTTTGTTTCAGCGCTGACCTACCATTTTTATCACTTTATTGAAAGGACCATGAAATGTGCTTTCCACTGACGTGCGAAGAGTAAGTGTCTGATAACCTTTTGACCCTCAAGAGGAGGGTTAAACATGGATTCCTGAACTGCCTCAATGATGTCACAGTGTTCTCATATTCATGGCACATCCATAATCTAGAAAGCCAATAAGCCTGGTTAGCCGAATGCGTACCGCACGGGCGTCACGGCTCAAAGGTTGTGGGATCGAATCCCATCAGATTTTTTATTATTTACCTGTTCTCTGTATTTTTCTATCTTTATCCATTTAACTATTTTTTTCCAATTAATGCAAATATTTACATGATTTAAAAAAAAATAGGGTTAGGGTTAGGGTCACAATGCACCATAAAACAGGAGTTTCAGGCACGCGATTTGTATCAACCAATGGGATTTGGGAGGTATGCAGAATGCAGAAGGTTGCTGAAATGATGTGTACGCAACTGCATATCTGCATATCTGCGCCTAACAAAGGTGTCACTACACACGACTTAAATTTTACGTTTATAACCGTAGCAGCAGACCTCAGATGAGCCCAGACGCTCTGCGGCTCTTGTTTAGACTTATTTCCAATACTGCAGTAATTGCTGATTAACTCCCCCCCTCACTACTCTGCAGCCAAAAGTGCTGAACTTTCATTCAGCAATAAGCACATCGCTCATTGACGCACGCACTCGAGCACATTCCACTCCGATGGAGTTTCTCTTACACACAAACCTGTTAAAGTAATTATTGCGAGAGTTTACCAGTGTTTCCCCCACTTTCATGATACCTACCGTTATTGCTCGAGTAACGGCAATTGTCTAGAGTAACGATCAGGGTTCTCCAAGAGCAGTTATACTTAAATAGCCTGGCGGCCCGCATGCGTCAAGGCAACATGCGTTAACGCCTCGCGACGCTCCATGCAGCGAGCCGAGAGCCAGACAATCCCCGACCCTCGCGCCGTCTCGCGAATCCACACGTGTGGTTCTCACGTGTGCCGTGTCCGCTTACAGGATGGCAGACATCTACTTCTGTGGCAGCATCCGTGGCGGTCGGCAGGACGCTGAGCTGTACGCACGCGTCATTAAGATGCTGGGAGAGTATGGACAGGTGCTGACGGAGCACGTCGGCCACAAGGAGATCGGCGAGAAGGGTGAGCTGCCCGTTAGTGATGCTGATTATAGATAGTGGTAGTGATTCATTGTAGTAGTTTGTGAACTTTCAGTGTTGCGCTGTGATCTGTTCACGTGTGCATTGCAATACTAAGTGATCTCGCTCTCTTTTCTCTCTCTCTCTCTCTCTCTCTCTCTCTCTCTCTCTCTCTCTCTCTCTCTCTCTCTCTCTCTAATACTATCCACCGATACTTTCCATCGATACTTTCCACCGATACTTTCCACCGATATTTTCCACTGATGCTTTTCACCAATACTTGCGAAACAGGAAAACAACTCCACGTACAACAAATTTACAAGGCCACAGAGAATAATATTTAGCACGAGATTCACACAAAACGCGTCCAGAAATAAACGTCCACCGATACTTTCCAGCAATCCATTCCACCGATACTTTTCACTGATACTTTCCACCAATACTTTCCGCCGATACTTTCCACCGATACTTTCTGCCTATACTTTCCACAAAACCTTTCGAAACAGGTAAAACGATAACAGCGCGTACAATAGACAGAGCACAGCGAGTTTTATAATTAGCAGACGATTCCCACAGACACGGTGACGACATCGCGGTTTTGCGCAAGAACAACGAATCACAATCACAAGTAATCCACGAGTAGCATCACGAACGAGGATTTCACTGTCGTGCCAGCACAGCGATAAGGTTGGACACTCTAGGAGAATCGACTGAAGCTATACATAATTCCGCCACGCAGCAGAGAAGTAGCAAACACTGAAATGCTAACGCGGTGACTCGATCCACTCTTCTGTAGAGGATGTTTCAGTGTATAACGGTCACTCTCTCGGACAGGTGGCCCTTCTGTAGAGGATGTTTCAGTGTATAACGGTCACTCTCTCGAACGGTTGGCCCCTCTACAGAGGATATTTCAGTGTATAATGGCCACACTCTCGAATGTGTGGCCTTTCTATGGAGGGGATAGATGTGGCGTTGGACTGCAGGTGACGCGCTAACTCGTTTCTCTCACTTCCTGCAGGCCGGAGAGGACTCGAATCCGGGAGCGGACGAGGAGTCGTCCGAGGTCGTCCCGGAGGAAGAGGAAGAGGACGAGGAGGAGGACGGCGAGTAGGGAGATGGAGAAGAGGTGGAGGGGCGATCTTCTCACTCGCGGGTGGCGGACGAGTGTGTAGGTAGTGGTCGTGTTGCATGCGGCGCGCTGCGTGGCAGTCTACTGGTGTTGTTTTGTGTGTTTTTTTTCCCCTGAAACCGTGCACGTGCATCTCACGTGAAGGCGATCGGGTCGCGCGACTCCTGTTACGCAGTGCTGCCACTTTATACTTTGCTAATCTTGTTGCAGGACTGATGTGTGCTCTGTTCAGTGGAGTGTTTTTGCTCTCGGCTCTCTGCTGTCAGTGACCAAATGTCAAATGAGCAATGCGCATTGCAGTGTTTCCTCTGCATTGACACGAGCAAGGCAACTCGCCTCACTCAAATTCTCAGCCGCCACACAGAAATTTGTTAAAAACACCTGACGAGACTTTTGACAACTTGAAAAAGAGATTCAAGAGTCTCATACAATTTGTTCAGAATATCTTAGAATGCACCAAATTGCACCATTTTTTCAAAAAATTTCCCCCCGGACACCCCTAGCTTGGCCAGCACGAAATGCGCAAACACATCACAAAATAAATTCACCACTTAGGAGACTTTTTTGGCCAGGCGAAACACTTCATTGAAATATTCCAGACTGAGGGTTCAAGAGACAACTCCTCATGGCATTGCACACAACATTCCTGAAGCTTGTTTACATGTTGCACATAGGCTATAATGTATTCAGTAACAAGGTATAAGGTAACAAGTGACTACCTACAAATCATGGTAGGTTGATACAAATTTATACTTTTTTAATACTTTTTTCTGGACAGATTTTATACTTTTTTGTAATATCCTGAGTGGCAGCACTGCCCGTGGCTCGCATTTCTCGTGAATTTGCGTTGAGCGGCGTTCTTGTCTATGTTTGAATTTCGTAGACTGATTACTTTCTGCAGGTAGAGATCTTTTCAGCCGTCGCGACTTTACGGTAATTAATTGAGTTGATATACTTGGCAAATGCGGTATCGTGTAACTACACGCGTTGTTGTTTTTTCGATACACAAAAATGGCAATGGTAACATAACTTCGTTGTGAGGGTGTGTAGCATATACATCTGTAGGTTGATTTCCTTTGCATTGGCTGCATGGTAAAAAGAGGCAATGACTAAGAATTAACCTTTCTGTCAGGTGGGTCCTTCATGAATCGGTTAATTCACAATTTGATTTTCCTTCCAATTTGGTTAAATAAGGAAACAGTGTTGTTCACATTCGTGCGCGATCATGAGAAGTTTTCTATCGGAAGATGAATCCGGACAGAACAGGTTACGTAGACAGGCCGTGTAGAATAAATGTTGTAGACAGGTCGAGATGTTAGAATGGATGTGGTAGTAGGCACACACACACACTTATATTGAACATTTGCAAACGGCTAAACGGCAGCGATGATAGGTATCTTCATGCAGCGAGTAAACGCGATTGACTCCTCACGGAAAGGAAACACGCGTTTGGTTTAGGGAGGCTACGGGAGGCATGCGCTGTCGTGTAATTTGCGTTTCGCGGAAATTTCGCTGGGGTCAATTTGCGAATACTCCGATAACCGATCTCGCTCGCGCAAAATCAATAGAGCTGCGCACACTCAGTGCGCCACGCTGGATGAGCAGTGCGTAGAGCTTCTCCGTGGCAACTAGTTGTGTTAGTGATGCTAGAAGGCTGGATGCTGAGGAAAATAACGATGAATGGCTTCGGGGGATGCAATCAATGGCTGTGGGACAATGGGTCTGCAGATGCCACATCAATTAAGGAAAATTGCATGGTTTCAAGCTTGCAGTCTACAATCTTTACGATCTACTCATTTTACGGAGCATTGTATTGTATATGGCAATCAAACATGTTTTCCTGTATTGATAGTGTTTAAAAAAATCCTTGGCATGGATGTAATCACAAGCTGAAATTAACATTACGTTATTAATGTTAATGGAACCTTGATGTAATTATCTGAAGTGCTTAGTAGAGTAGTTAGACGCTATCAGGAGTAGATAATAGGCCTATTATCTACTCCTGACGCTATTAAAATATTTCGAATGTGTAAGCTAGATTATATATTATAATATATGTACTCCTAAAGACATTTTCAAGTGGTAAAAGTCATTGACTGTGCATTGTGTCTCTGTACGACAATATCAGTAATGTCACATCATTTATTTTACGTACATTAAATTATTTGTAAATGCGTTTTTTTGCGGTGAGCTTGTCATGCTCATTCATAAAATATTAAAGAGTGCTGGACAGGTGATAAATTGGTGTAGGAGTGATTACCTCAGTCTGCATTTACAGGTGATGATATGGATGAGAGAGAGATACATGATAGAAACATGAAGTGGTTGGATCAAGCTGAATGTGAGTACAATATCACACAAATGTTTTACACAGTCATGTCATCACCGATGGTCCGATTGTAGCCGGGATGTATTTTCGTTTGCATTCAAGTATGTTGTTGTTTTGGGCTTTTTGCCCATGATGTCTTTTTCCTCTCACGTTTTTGTGTTTTGCAGTTGTTGTTGCTGAGGTGAGTCAGCCGTCGTTGGGCGTAGGCTATGAAATCGGACAGGCAGTGAACATGGAAAAACGAATACTGTGCCTTTTTCGCGAATCGTGCGGAAGAAGTGAGTTTTTCTGTTTGTTGCATTGATAGTAAACCTTGGTTGCTTGGATTTTTGGTTGTTGTATTATGATAAGTTGAATTAAGTTCATAGAGAAAGCTTCTCACTTCATTTTATTGACATTTTTCATGTAATGAGATGTGATCCAATGCTATACATAGACTCATTTAAAATTACTGGTGTACTGGTGCTGTTGTAGTTATTAAATAATTGACATTAGATTCACACCAGTACTTATAATGTAAAAGTTTATAATGTGTCACAGTAATTGATCGGCTGTTCATAAATCGTATCGTGCCTATGAAGATCGATCACAAAATATTCGTCAGTCGTGATTCGCAACGGACGTCACGTCGCGTCTTGCTCGTCTCTGCAGGTCTGTCGTGTATGATACGCGGTCTGCACAACGACCAGTCTGTCGTCGTCAAGGACTACAAGGAGGCTGACCTTCCCGCCATTCTGAAGGAGTTCTTCAGCGAGGCCAACAACGGTGTCGAGGCAAGTCAACCCTGTGTATAACGGTCACTCTCTCGAACAGGTGGCCCTTCTGTAGAGGATGTTTCAGTGTATAACGGTCACTCTCTCGGACAGGTGGCCCTTCTGTAGAGGATGTTTCAGTGTATAACGGTTAACACTGAAATGCTAACGCGGTGACTCGATCCACACGCACGCGCACGCACGCATACATACCCGCACGCACGCACGCACGCACGCACACAGACACGCGCGTGCACGCGTATATCGTTGCTACACATCGTCGTGAACAAAACACTATCTTATACTAACTCGTCGCGTGCGAATAGTTGATCGAGTTTATTCGATTCAACATTCACTTTTAATACTTTTTCATGCAAAAAAATCGATCGGGTTGTTTGACTTTTTACTGATTTCACTAAAAAAACAATCGATGTGATGTTAAATCAACTAGACGGTCGTCAGTCGAATCTATAAGCAGAAATGATATGAAAAATATATCATTATATATTAATATAACAGAATGAAATCGCGAGTTTGTAGCATCAATGTATGATGTATTCTACTAGTGTACGCTGTAGTCAGAGCATATTGTTACTTGAATCCAATCAGCAAAGCCAAACACTTAATTAATCATTCTCTTGCACACTTACGTGAACGCGATTTCGGTCTAACGAAGAATATGAGAAACACTGTGAGGTGGTGAAACACGTGGAACGATAGACGGGTGAACGGGCGCGTACCTAGTAACCAGCGCGTTGGCAACACTGCCCCGAACCCCGCCCGTAACTCAGCTAACGTGAAAGCTAAATCAATCTACCTAGTAGCCACGTCTCTAGCGTCCACGCGAGGGCAACACCGCCCGGAAGGCGGCGCGGAACTGACTCCACTTCGCAGCATATATCAAGAAGTTTATGCTAGAATTACAGTACGCCAGCAGGTAGCCGAGGCCTCGCGCCACGACGACCGTGTCGTGGTAGACGTCGGCAACGCTCAGCAGCATCAGGATGAAATACGGAGCCCAGCAAACGAAGAAAGCGCCGACGACGATGCCAAACGTCTTGGCAAGCTTCAGATGCTTGGCGAGCTCAGCAGAGAAGGATTTTCCGGTCTCTACTGCCTCCTGCGAACCGCTGCTGCTCGGTTCCTGGTGGATCTGCCGCTGGTGGTGCTTGGCAATCATCATCATGTAAGCGTAGATGGAGGCGATGGCGATGACACACATAACAGTGAATACCGATCCAGAGATGACAGCCATTCTACTCGAAACGATGTCATAGATGCATGGTTGATCCGGCTGCCAGCGGTTGCCAATGAGACTTGACACGCTTACGAAGACGGCAATGACCCAAACCAGGACTACCATTAACAAGATAACGCGCGGTGTGACGATCTGGTAGTAGTGTAGCGGTCGCGATATTGCAATGTACGTTGATTACGTTATGTCTACGTTGATGGCAATGGGCGAGTTTGTTGATGCAAGAGACGAGATCAAAACCACAGTGAAGTGTCCAAGACATATGATCTTTGGCGGGAATTCGATTAGAAAGGTTATTGGTACAATGAAGACTCCTCGGACGCCCATGATGAAATCAGCGACAACCAAGTTTGCGATCAGCTTGTGTGCCGGCTCCTGCAGGTGTGATATCCGTGTCACAGCCAAGATGACGAGAAGATTAGCAAATATGCTGATCATGTTGAGAGGAATCAGCAGGTAAGCGATTCACGCCTGAATCGCGTAAACCGTTTCCTATTCAATATCCGACTCCATGCAGCCGATCCAGCTCCCATTCTCGGACACGGACCCGGAGATGTTGTACAGTGAACTATTAGCTGTCGCCATGATGCAGAAATGAATCCCACCACGCCAGCTCCGTAACACTAATGGCGTGCCTCTGCCGCTTTGCATGAATTTTATGTCTTTTATACGTAATAATGTCTCCCCTCTCCCTCTCAGCAATTCTATTTCTGAGCTCTAATTTTATCTCGTAGCGTTGTCACGATACTATGCTACATAATTAAATATACATAATTTACTATATTACATCGTTTAGCCCTTAGATTCTTCTCAGAAACGCGTCCTTCGTTCTCCCGAATCATTTAACTAGCGTGATGCGGGGTATTGCTGTACCTACTTACTTGGACGTACCGGAGGAAGATATTAATCGCACTGCCCCATCCAATGAAAGAGACATTTGCAGCTGGCGCGTGCACAGCTTAGACTGTCCTCAGCTGTCAACCCTCCGCTACGACAAAGCAGGAATCTTGGTAATAGTCTTCACTAATATGAAACTCGGTGGCAAGCTATGCGATACAAATATTTTCCTCGTTTAAGTGAGCTTCACAACATAAATACAAAGCAAGTTTGATACATTACTGCGCCAATTGATTTTGCGCTAACGAAGTATTCGCAAAACTTTCTGAGAAGATTTAGACTGTCCCCAGCTGTCAACCCTGCGCCACAAAAAAGCATGAATCTTCGCAATAGTCTTCACTAATATGAAACTCGGTGGCAAGATATGCGATATAAACATTTTCCTCATTTAAGTAAGCTTTACAACATGAATAGAAAGCAAGTTTGATACATTTCTGCGCCAATTGATTTTAAAGATGCGCTCGGGGAAGCGGCGTCAGGCGGTGAATAGAGCTCGGCTAAAACGGACGGCGTGGCCGTGGTGAAGGGTATCCATCGCTCCAACCATGCTAGCATTCAGAGACTGTAGATCAGCTGCTGAGAAGCATATAGGTGCAGCATATAGTCCAGGCATGCTAGCAGCTGAGGTAAAATAGAATTCGGGGTAATAGAATAGAAATGCTGGTGTGTTGGAGGTAACGGGACATTGGAGGAAAGTACAATGATACCATCAGGGGGAGGGGTGAAGCTTGCTAGCTGGTGAAGTAATAGGGGTTGGAGGAAGCTCCACCGTGCTAGCAGGTGGTGGTGTGGCAGACAAGCTGGGGTAAAGGGAAATAAGAGGAAGACCCAGACGTGCTAGTAGCAGCAATACGGATAGCTAAGGTGAAGCGGGTCAGAGGGCTAACCAGGCACACTAGTGAGGGTTGACATAGCAGCGCAGGCCAGCCGTTAAAAGTAACGACATGTAGCAATGAAGCAATGACGTCATATTAGTCTTCGAAAATAAAAAAAGTAAAAAGAACGTTTTTGTTTCGTGAATGTAATGTGTGGTACGACACAAATAATGTAGTTTCTGAATCGCATTTTATTCCAAAATCATTTTTGTAGGGCATTTTCCTATAGATACGTATATTTATATATCTTATTTTAGTTTTGACATTTATACATATATATTATGTAAGTATCGTGTACTATTTATACGTGTACACCGTTGAACTATTGGTTTAGAAGACTTATTTTTGTTCCAACCCGTCTTCTGACATCTTTCATGTCTGTTAAATGGAGCTCGAGTATTCTAAACACCTCCGTACGAAACTCACACAAAATCTTCACAGGTTCGCGGACTGTTTCTATTTTTGCGATCGCAAGATTTTACACATAGAGCCGAATTTCCCAGTGCGCAGTGAAGAATTACGCTTTCTGTCGAACGAATAAAATCACACGTCTATATATACAGAAGCTCCTTAGAAAACGCCATAGCGTGCGAAGCGGGAACGGGGGCTGACTAAACCATCGCTGATATATCACGTCGACTCATTGGTATTTTGTAGTTAACATTACGCTTCGTTACGTGGGTGTTTTGCCCTCGACCCGCACGTGGAATTGCCAGTGATATTCAATTCCATATCCGACTGTTTCAATGGAAAGTTACGTGTTCACACTTGATGCCGCAGTAATAATGTTTGTATGTAGTGCACAACGTATATATATCGTATGCAGTCCGGCGGTGTTATGGATGTCTGTAAAAATATGGTCAGATGATCTGGAGTATAAATCCGTCGCCATAGTAACGGGGTTGTGATGAGACTTATTGATTCATTGATGGTTTGCCCGAAAACCGATCTGTCATCGACTGTTTCGTTCTGACTTCTGCCGTATACATAAACGGTTAAAATTTTCTTTTGTAAATATCACCACCAAAAAGTTCACATTTACACTGGGTGGTACAGTCACTTAAATTCAGGAACGAAACTGGTTTTGTTCAGTGTCCTTGGATAACAGCTTAGACACTCAGTCATGACTAATATTTATTATTGTTTAGCGACGACATTGGGATGAACCGGTAAACATTAGTTTACAAATAACGCGAATCACTCGTTTAAAAAAAAGGTTGTCAATGTTGTAAATTTGCTCTCCCAGTCGACTGCATTACAAACATGTCAGTCATGAGTATACTTAATTAGTTCGGTGTTAATCATATCTTCTCCTGCCGTCTCTCCAACTGTTGGGCACAACCAGTTAATTAACACCTTCCTGCTCGCTCTTGGCGGTGAATGCGGAGATACGGTGGTGCGTGTGTCACTGTGTATCATGCGCGTATACGTACTTACTTGCGTCACGGCACAAGCATGCCTGCATTCACGAATGTTCGCGGGAGGACCCTACTGGCTATCAAAAAAAAATTTTGTCGTTTTGTAAAACTTGATGATGACGTGTTTGAAACTGCCCTTCGTGCATTGTCTCATTGTGGGATAGCGAAATGTTAGTAGATTGATATACTGTATACGATGTATATTTCGCAGTGGTTTAATTTTCGCGAATTTCGCGAACGCGTTCTCGACCTCGAAAATAACAACACGCGAATAATTCATACCGAATGATACCGTATATTTCATAATTCACTGATCGTGAAGTTAACCACTCGCGAAATTGTCCGTCAAGTCTGAATTCGCGAAAATATCTGTACGTGAAAAATATGGCGTATACAGTAATCACTAATCAGGAGTGATTAATTAACAAATGTGTTTTTTGTTCACTCATGATATAATACTAGTATACACGTGTTGTCTTGTTGTCGGTAAGGGTGCACGATAATTATTGTAGTGGTTTGTTTATAGCGCTCTATACTTGCCGCTGTTCTAGTGAATCGTGACGAATCTTTTACTGTTTGTAACGTGAACCGTAGATGTGTGACATGTGTGCTGCAATACTGCATGGCGCCTACTCACTCAGTCAATACATAATTCACAATGTTCATCGCATCATTTCGGATTCTGTTTTGCTGAATTTTCTTTCGTGCAATGCTAAGTGCGTTGCCCTAAATCTGTGACAGACGAGAATGCCCTTTGGAAAATCTATAATTTGAATCGTAGCGTTAGTGTATTGAGTGTTGAAGTGGGTGTAAACCATGCATTTCTATCTTCACTACCATAGTAGTTGCAGTCACTTTGTGTAGACAGTCCCCGAATTGATGTAAAATTCATCCGTGGTAATATATACGTTATAAGATTGTGGCAATAATACTGATTGAGACATTTTTCTAACGTAAAAAAATCATATTCATAATATATATGATACAGTATGAGATTATGACTACATTTAGTACGTCTCGAAATTTGTGTACACATTTTGGTATACCGTATTGCAATGCTGCAGATATCCTGTGTTATATATTATATATGTTATTGTAGTTCTGTATTAGTTTAGTGTGACAAAATAAAGCGTTGGTAATTTCAACTGAGAGTATATACATAGCTAATTCGTATTATTATTAGTTGCAACATCCTTGTTTTTCCCCTCAATATTATATCCAAGCTATATCCATTGTGATAATTATATTATATATAGGCATCGTGAGCATGTTTCCATCGGGAGGTGTAACCGTGCACTTTCACTATTACAAGTGAAATTATTCGTCTGTGGCGTGTGCGTGTGCGTGCGTTCATCTCTCTCCGGGTCATGTTTTTTCTCCTCTACATAATACAACAATAATTATTACCTCTGCCAAGGAGGTAATGCAATCGGTCTCGTGTCTGTGTGTCCAGTCCACGCGGCGCGATCGATAGCGATTCGAGTCAGCGAGCAGCGAGTCAGCAGCAGGCGAGTGAGTCAGCAGCAACCACCAGCGAGCGGCGAGTCAGTCAGCAGCAGCCAGCAGCGAGCAGCGAGCCAGCTCGTAACACATACATGTTACATTCTGGCGGAGGTATGCACTCTCCGTGAGTGCCCTCTGTCTAGTTATTATTGGTTCAAGTGATACAGCATAGATTTTAAAGCAAATCACTGTTCCCCCTACATTTCCGGTAACCCGGGCCCTCTTTAAAACGTGTCCAGTGTCATAACATTGAATTTCAACGAAATCCTAGTTCTGGAGACCCCCATTTTCGAACATAGCCGGTTCCAGAGCATACCACATTCAACAAACATTAGTTCCAGAGACCCCCATTTTCAGGTCTGAGTTAGTTCCAGAGCCCCCACATTTTTGACTTCGCGCAGTGGCACGTACATACCTACCATAATGTGGGGTGAGTGCCCCCCCCGCCCCCGGGGGTTTCATCTCCTTGGTTTCCTGCAGAATTTTTGTTTCAAAATAGTGCCACGGCAGTGCCGTGCTGCCGTGGCGGCCACTAGCTACGACCCTATATATATATATATAACTATATAAACCTAGCTATGCCCTAACCCTAACTCTAAACCTAACCCTTTGCAATATTCGGTCTATCCAGGCCCGTAGCCAGCTTTCTATTGGGGGGGGGGGTTCGTTTTTCAATGTTGGC